ATCTGAAATTAGAAAAAATAACTCGCCGGATGGGCGAGAAGTATAGTATCTGTTATGTACTGATTGTTTTTAGTTTACTATAAACAATATTATCATTTAAGTTCTTATTTTTTGAATATACAACTATCATTTTCTGCTTATAGACATGGGGGAATTTCTTTCGAAGGCTCTTATAGTGGGCATGGACTATCTTGCTTGCTCGATTGCTGGTAGTATTAAACGGGACAACAAAGGGTGCTATGCCTACATTATGATGAATATAGGTCTTGCTGTATTCAATGTCTCAATCCAATGGGCTTCCCTAGATTGACGGAATTTGGTAGTTTCATCTTCGGGAAGTCAATTTCTATACGCTCAATTGGGATTAGGGTGAGATCGTCTAATGAATGGTCGTCGAGGTTGAAATGATTAGAAACAGGCTTGTCTTTCTTTAATTTGATGTCTGACCTATGAGCATTAAAGCGAGTTCGTAAATTATTCTTAGTTTCTCCTACGTATTGTTTGGGGCATTTCTTGCATGAAATTAAATATATTACATTCGAATGTTCACATGTTAGATGTTCCTGGATCGGGTACCTTTTATTCGTAGAGTTGCTTACAAAATAGTTTCTGATATAAAGGGACATGTTTTGCATCTACTGGACAAACATGGAGTACTTCTTAAACCTGGAGGTACTACGGCATAAAGTCTGTTTTTAGCTGCTATCTGTGCAGGTGGAATTTTTTTATGTTTCGTAAAAATCGTTTAGAGTACCCACGCTCTTTCAGTTTTGAGAAAACAATCGTATAGGCTTGGTTGAAATCAGAAGATCTTGTACAAATTCGATGAAATCGTAAAACTTGTGACTTAATTATACCAGAAAATGTATGTTTTGGGTGAAAGGAGCTCTTGTGCAGGAGTTGATGAGTATCAGTTTCTTTGAAATACACTTTAATATCCAGTTTATTTGTTTCTGCTATGGAATCTCCCTTAAAGACTGTGGTATCGAGAAAGTCTATGCTTTTGTCACTCACGTTTGCGGTTAGTTTGATAGAAGGATGGTGGTTGTTGAGAATTTCAAAGAATTCCCAAAACTGTTCGATAGAATAAGTCCAAACCATAAAAATGTCATACAAAAAGCGTCCGTAAAAAAGTGGGTCAAATGGACAGAGGGGCAACACCTCACGTTCCCACTCTGCAATGTAAAGGTTTGCGTACGAAGGGGCGAATCGTTTGCCCATTGCTGTCCCTGAAGTTTGTAAATATGTTTTACCCTTAAATGTGAAATCGTTTCGACTAAGACAAATCTCTAATAGCTGTAGAATTGCATCGTCGGGTCTGTTTGGATCTGGGTTTCTATTAAAAGCTTTACGAACTGCCGTTAGTGTTATCGATATTGGTATACATAGAAGAAACGTCGATAGAAATTAAAATAGCATTAGAGGGAACTCGAAGATTTTTTATTTTATCGACAAAATCGGTTGTGTCTTTAAGGTATGCGCGATGTTGACATGCTAGAGGTAGTAAAAAATGATCCATGTATTCGAAAAAAACATGTGCAGCTAAGATTTCGTTGAAATCTTTCAATGGATGGTCGTATGATTCCAGGATTGACTGTATGTGATGGAATGGGGCACCGGGGTAAGAATGTATTTCAGTATCCGAACTGGTTTTGGTAATTCGATTCAGGTTAAATGATCCAATTATTGAGGTAGGTCTCAAGGTCTGGATACACGTCTCGACTTGGATGGAGACTGAGGGGTGGTTTGCTGGTCCAAAAACGCACAGAAGGAAGAAAGGTTGGCGGATCCTGGATCACGTGGTGAAGATTCAGATGGTGTGGAAGGGGAAAGAGAAGGGACTGCCCTCTCTTCGAGAGCGTTTAACCTATGTCTGCTGGACTAGGAGTAGGTGAACTTCGGGCTCGTTTAGGGGTTTGGTTCGGCAGCGTGGTGGCTCTAGATGGTGCATGTGTAGTGTCCATTTCAGTTGGTAGAGATATGGTTACTCTGGTTTCGTTTCGAGACGTTTCCCATAGGAGCGACGGGCCCAGGACAGGGCATGAGAAACGATGCGGTCGACGGCAGGTGATGATAAAGACTTGGTACGAATAGTGGTCAGCTTCTCTTGAAGTGTGGTTTGATAATGGTCGATCAGGACCTGCGTAACCTTAGAGAGCCATGTCCGATTGAGGGATCTAATATTCGCGTCAACAGCTGATGTTTTCATTGCTGGACGGATAAAACTATCCGTTTGCGTTTGCGTTTGAAGGTAAACGCTGGTTGGCCTTGCTGTTGAAGGGTAAGGATTGCCAAATGATGGAGGCACTGCAAAACTTGGAAGAACACCTTCACAAAGGGTTCTTCCTCCTTATGAGTGGGGACTGGTTGGCGTCGGTGGGCTGGCAGTCGTTTCTGTTGTTGGTCAGGTCGATGGTTACCTCTTGATTGGTAGGCTGTGTTGTAGGTAGGTCGGCGATGGGTGGGATATAGCTGGATGGGTTGGTTGGTGGTCGGCGATTGGTAGGTGGTAGAGGTCGATGGAAGACAGGGCCGTTGTAGGGTACGTGATATTGGTTTGGCGGATGTAACAGGAGGAAACTGTATATGCTAGCGTGAAAATGTGGGGATCAAATTATGCAAATAAGTTAAACTGGGTTTGGGGATATATAAAGTAAGATGAAAGTTATGATGAAAAATGCAAAAATATATATTTAGGTGATAAATAACGCTAAAAATGATGTGAAAAATTATAACAAGTAAAACAAAAACTTACGCAATTGACACGAACCGGTTTTCGAAATATTATCCTTTTTCAAGTGTCGAGGAATGGTTATGTAATGAGGTTGAATTTGCGATTTATATAGTGGTCCGTTAATACAGGTTTTTGATTTTCTAAAAATTATTGAGTGAATCATGTCATATCTTTGATCAGTTGAGGATTAGGATTATTTTTGATTTCTTAATTAGTTGAGTCATATCTTTGATCAATTGAGGATTATAGAAATATTGGATTAGATTTTGATTGTATCTGAGTAATAATTCAGGAGGATTAGATTATCTCAGAGTACAATTTACATAAATGAAAAACATTTATAAACAGAAATCAAGAATACAAAAATATAAAATATATAAACATGAGAAATATTTGATAAAATAAGCGGGATTAGTGAATTGTAAATTGATTAGAACTAACTTTGAATTTTGATTATACCCGAGTAGTAATTTAAATGGATGGATTATCTCGGAGTATAATTTACACGAAAGAAAAACATAAATAATGGCAATTAAATTTACTTGGTTAGATTAAGAGATTAATGCAAATTTTGTTGAAGAAAGTTTGTTATATGCACGAGAAACAAATGTCAAAATTCTATCATATACAATAAATACAAAAAAAATATATAAACATATATAAGATGAAATAAAATATACCAAAGTCAAAATAAATTGTCTGATCTGGCCTGGCACGGACAGTATTTGATTTCGGGGAAGGGAGGGTTTGATTCTCCCAAATGTACAGGCCTAGGGTGGAGCAGACACTTTATTTATACACTGCATATGACTCACTACCACAGTCAGATATAATCGGGCGGCCTTTAGGGATTTTTTACGTCCACGGTCTAAGATTGAATACTTGATTAGAACTGTGTGATTTAATTGTTTGTTGTATTTGGGTTATTGATATTGAATTTTGTGGAATTACTCAGCATAAATAACTGGCATATATATATATGTAATTGAATTCAAACTAATAAAATTTCTTCAATATGAGAAAATTCGTACTTTAGTCACTAAAGACTGTTTTATCATTTCTGACAGCTGCCAGTGGGCGTATGTTACCTTGCCTGGCAAGCTATCTTTGTTAATGCAATAATTACCGAGGTGACTGCTGATGCCAGGACATGACCACTCTTCCAACTCATACTATAATGTCGCTGGGATTGTCAACATGACAACGCTTTCGGAAAGTACACACAGCAAATATGTTTATTTAGAATATCGAGTTGTCAACTTGACATCTCCTTGGGAAAGTACACATAGCAATACTATCCCAGTCGTATTGGTTTTGTTCACTTGGCATCTCTTTCAGGGAGTCCACATATTAAAGAAATTGTTTGAAAGCAGTATTGCATACCGTTTGTGATGCTGGAAGCTGATGTTTACTTGACATCTACCAAAAACTACTTAGTCTGCGATATCAGTTTACTGGAAAGGAATGTTAAATCGCCATCTACCTAGTCTGTGATATCAGTTAGTTGGATACGAATGTTAACTTGTCATCAACCACAACTACGTAGTCTATGATATCAGTTAGCTGGAAGCGGACATTAATTTGACATCTACCAACAACTACCTAGTCTGTGATATCGCCATCAGCTGGAAGTTTGTCATCTACCGACTGAATTGATGCTTGTTGGATAATATGAATTCCAGGATGCTTTAAGAGGGCACAGGGGCAAGGAGGTCTACGCACAGATGATGTAGGGCGTGTGTGGCTGCTGTAATATATTGATATGTCTACAGACCCAGAACAGCGAACTGGCACTAGTATAACAACCTTCTGCACCTCTTTTTTAGAAACTTAATGGCATTTATTAGCCAGTAATGGGGAGAGAAGATGTTTTTATTTTCATTCGTTCAGAATCTACAAGCCAGATTGTTAACTTGAAAACACTTTCAAAAAATCCTCATTATCAAAAATATTGTTTCAATTTAGGGTGTATCAACTTGATATCCTCTTTCAGTGAGTCCAGATACTTAATAATATTCATTTGATTTTTTGGTTTCCTAACTCAGCACCTGATTAAGAAAGTATACATAGATAATAACGTTGAAATATAACCTAAAAAAGGTTGTTACTCGGAGTTTCACGCAATGCGAATCAGTCTGTTTTAATATTTCTATATCACTCTACAATTGATGTTTTGAGTACTATTTTAACAGTGAGAATTATTATGTTATTATTAGATGTTAACGTATGTATAAAGAATATAATGGACACATGTTTATCCAAAATTTTAGAAAAGAATTTCACATATAAAGTAATAACTCCGATGACATGGTGAATCGACAAAACCCCTTCGTATTTGAGATATAGCCAGACACTTCTCTGTTCCATGACCATTTGGTTCACCTAGGCCCCATTGTTGAGTGTCAACAGAACCACCTCTCGTCCATTTAAAATCAGGAAAACTGTCTGTAAATCCACCAATGTGGGGCAAATCTGGAAACGTAATATACAATACTAGTAGTCATTTCGGAAGCTACAGGCTTTGTACGTTACAAGAATCTACCTGACCACGGTATGACATTGTCCGTTTTCATAAACCCCCATCTGGAGCAAACACGAACGACGAACAAATTACGTTCATAGTAAAAGATGATATTTATATCGGAAGCTACAGGATTTTTACGTTACAAGAATCTACCTGAACATGGTATGGCATTATCCGTTTTTATAAGTCCAATACTGGAGCAGGAAAGTCCAAAGTATAATGTACAACTCCATTTCCATTATTTCCATGTATAAATAATTGTTATCCCTACCTTCAGAATTCGCTGTCATCTTCATTATTGTAGTATACTTCTTATCTGTGTTTAAATTGATAAGATATCCGCCATCTTGGTTACAGTGGTCCTTAGCGTCCGTCCAGGTGGCTTTGAATGTGAAATATTTAACGCAGATTCCTAAATCAGGCAAACTTTGGTAACCCTTCGATATACAAACTTCTAAAATACAGAAATCTCACATTGTTAGAGCAAATTTATTTAAAGCTATCATGTTCTAACTAGGCTATAATTAATATTGAAAAAAAATATTCGGATACCTAATCTTCATCAGGGAAGCTAGTTATAGAAATATATATATATATATAATATATGTTTTTATTTCTTTCTACAGAATGCAGATGTCTAATATAAGCTTTACCATCAGATATATGTCTATCTGTATAGTCATCAACATTTTTGCCAAACCAACAGATAAAGATCATAAAGGTCACTTTACCGGAAGCAGTGTCGAAGGTATCTACCGAGGTTATGATTAATTATAGACTAACCAAACCGACGAATATCGAGATATATAGATAGACTGATTAATATACTCTTTTTTATTAAATCGATTGTCATGTGATGACCGGATTGTATTGTACTGTAGACACTTCAGCTGATGTTTATATATATAATAATATTCCTTGTCAAACTTCAGTAGGGACGCAGGCGGAAATAGGTTAGTTGTCTGAAGAACTCATAGCATGACAATCTGAACTTTATCTTGCTGGTAGACCAAATTTCGAAGATGCAATTCATCGACGATTGGAAATCGAAAAAAGGTCAAGACCATCGTCTTCATTGGCCAAATCAGAACCATGAAAATGGTGTAACATATTATTGAACAGAATAGCACTTACCTGGTGTTCGAGAATACACAGATGGCAAATTGATCTGCTCTCCAAAACCAGGAAGAGTTGGTCTTGGATTCAGACAGTAACAGACACCATCCTGGATTGCCACCATCTCGATCACAGGATAGAGAGTAGAGCAACGAGTAGCGCATACTATAACCCTATCGCAATGGAAGGGTTTTATAATCGTCAAATTAAAAGGATAGTTAAATTGTATGTTACTCCAAATGTGGCTATGCATGCTTTTAGCGTAAAGCGTAAGAATCAGCGTTACCGCCGATATCCACAGCATTTTTCTGTATTGAAATGGAACGCAGCGTGTTGATTATCAGAACTACATCCCATTATTCATTATCCGATATTCAAGCACTTTGAACGGACTTGCCATGGAATGCACTGTGTTATTAGTCATAAACACTTTATCTGGTTAGCAACAACGACCACGACTCGTTCAGAAAAAAATCAGAAAACAAAACTGAACGCATACAATCCTGCAATTAATTCTCCTCAATATACACACACATGCATCCTGGAAATGTCACAAAATACCACGAACATAAATCGATATGAGTTAATAGTTTTTATATATATAAAAACAGAAAAGGCAAATATTCTGAGTCAATAGCTATCCTGGACAATTCAAAATGTTAAAGAATACACAATTCTCACAAATTGTTTATAAAATATCCTTTAATTTCTAAAGTATCTTTCATTTTCTAAAATATCCTTCATTTTCTAATTCTAAATATTCTTTATTTCTAAAATATCATCCAATTTCTTTTAAAAAAAACCTTTAGTTTATACAATAACATTCAATTTCTAAAATATCCCCAAGTTTCTAAAATATCCTTCAATTTTCAAAAAATTTTCAAGTAAGAACTTGGTATGGACCTTGGTATAGGAATAAACAGTATGTTCCATCGAACAAACGTCATTCTTTGTCTGTGTTTATAATGACAAGGTAGAGGTATTTAATCACTGTTAGTAAAATCGATTTTATGGCAATATCTCTATAAGATTAAATGCATTGTTGAAATCCTTATTCAGGTATTTCTTCAAACAAACACAGTAATTCAAGTTTTCGAGTTCGTCTGTCGGAATTGAGCCAGAACATTCCCACTCTTTCAAAGCAACTGATTAAAATTTCATTTGGTTTGTGAATATGGTAACCTCGTTTGGAAAATACACACACCAAATAGTGTTTATTTGGTATATCGGTTCACAGTCAATAGTAATTTATACGAGTCGTATTGGTTTTGTTCACATCGCGTTTCATTCTGGGAGTCTGTACAGTCGGTAAGAGCATTGGAAACAGTACATTTGATTGGTTACTTGTACAATGGTGTTCGCGGGTTCTAACTTCGGTTGGCGTAAGAAAACCTTTCGGAAACTGCACATAGCAAATAATGTTGGTTTATCGATTTGTCAACTTCACATCCCTTTCAGAGAATCCACATAGCAAATATTATCACAGTCGTATTCGTTTTATTCACTCGGCATGTCCACAAAGTAAGACCCAAATTGAGAAAATGCGTTGTAAAGCAGAAATGCATACCTTCTGCGTTTCGAGAGTATAGAAGGTGAGGGATTCAAGGCTTTGTCCCAGTCCATAATGACAATATATAATGTGTGAGTACTACCATTAATGAATACAGGGTGTGTCTGTATTGTTGTTTAGATGGTAATTATAAGTCAATATTATAATCTAATAGATATGTCAATAGATAAAGATGAAAATAAAGGACTATCAATATGGAGTATGAAAGAATAGTTATAAGTTCGAACTTACGTGCTCTCTTTGTGTTAGTTAACCTACGGGAGTCCAATAAATCAAGCAGCTTTTCGTTAATGCAGTAATTACTGAGGTGACTGCTGAAGGGAACTCGTATTAAATAGAAACTAGTAAAGCTCATCGATTCCACAAATAAATATTGTCCTTGCTATCATACACATAAAATTGGGTTATTGGTGTGTTCTGTATTCCAATTAAAATTTTCAAAACCAATACTTCTTACTTGCCTTATTGGACGAATCGTAAAACAGAAAAACATACGCAACATTAAATCGTTCTGTAGACAAAACCCAAAAAATCCTACATAACGTAACAACAGAACTCGTTATGTGGACAAAACCATGAAAATATTTCGCAACATTAAAACAAAGGAACTCGTTCTGTGGACAAAACCATAAAAACACTAAATTAATGAAACCAATATGTATTTGATTTATTGATTTAAACATTATATTTTTTAACAATGCTTAGTAGTTAAATTACGTTAAGAACTTATTGGCAATTTATTGTTATCTTTCCACTTTAAAACCATTAATTGTTTGATTGTTTATGGCATTAGCTGAAGACCGAACACACTGTGATGGATTGATGACTTCAATACAGGTCACCAGGTTTCTCTGTCAAGGACAATTATATAACCAATGCTGAGGGTTCCGTCAGTTTGATTGTCAACTACCAAACCAAACCAAACCAATTCCAACTGATTCAGTTCCTACGTACCAACAACTACCTAGTCTGTGATATCGGCTTACACTGGAACAGTGGTGTTTTTATGAAACACCGGGTGATGGGGCCGAGCAGAGGCAACAAAATGTTCCTTCGGGGCACATTCCCAAGTTGTGGGAAGGAAGGGAATAACCATCATTTCTTAGGTGGGGAGATTGGTGGGGGTGACATGGCATTATCCCCGATGTCAGCTCTAACCCCTTTGAAATTTTGTTTCCTGTGCCTGTATGTGATTTCGAGAGTAGGTTCTCATCCCCTGATACCTAAGCTACAGGTTGTTGATGGTAAAGACCATTCGGCAGGTTGTATTGTGTTTGTTTCAACATAACATCCGAGTTACCTCCCATATCATTGCTATCTAGAAGTGACAAACAATAGTCATAAGCTTAGAAATACCCAAACAGAACCGGAAACATTTTATTCAGGGTTTGTAGAAATGATAAAATAACGTCATTTATAACAACAAGAGCTCGCATAAGAAAGGGGTTGTACCGCTACAAGCAAAGTTATTGAGTCCTTTCCAACCCATTATGCTCATACAAGGTTCAACATTAATCCAATTAGGTTCACCTGAAGCCCAGAATCTGTCTAACACACTTCCCCGTGTCCAATAATATTCTGTATTTTCGGCGTCCCAAAATGTTGTGAATCCTCCAACATAAATGTGCCCTGAAAACAACAGTATATGTGGTGACTGTCCAAAAGGTTTGCGTGTTGGTGAACCTATGTATAATATAATTTATTAGCTATATTGACTCTCCAAATATTGGCTATTTATGTGGACTGGCAAAAAGGAATGTCGAATAAACCCAAATATACGTCATATATGCTAGAACTTTTTGAAGGAGCGGCTGACAAACTTTTGCAGATCTTAGAGGGTTGGGGTACTGGAATAGTCAGAGGTCCCCCCCTCCACCTGTAAAATTTTCTAATGTGGGAGGCCGGAGAATACATCTTACGCGATTTGGAAAGTGAAACTAGATTATCTTTTTCATTTGCTAATGGTACAAATGGGAGGGAGGGGCATGGGCCAAAAATTACGCCACGGATCTGAATGTGCTTGCCTCAAAAGACACATAAGTTATATTCATCTTAACGACTTACATTGGTTTGTCGTCAAAGCAATATCTATACTGACGTTAAATTTGGCCTCTGTATCCACATTTATTAAGTAACCACCATCTTGGTTGCAATGTCTTTCAGCATCTAGCCACGTCTTCCTGGTGTTAATATATCTTATACAATTTCCCAATTCGGGATAAATTGTATACTCCTTCGATATACAGTCTGGTGGTTCTACAAAAGGAAAGGAAAGATAGCTTTAAAAACGTCCTGATTTATGTGTGAATGTCAGGTTTCCTGTCTCATTGTTGATTTATAATATGTGTATCTTGGACACTTAGAGCTTCTATTTACACAATTCAAAATCCCAATTTAGGATCAAGTCGTTATCCCTTCGATACACAGTCTGATCGTTCTACAACAAAAGAAATTCTTTAAAACAGATCAATATGTCTCAAGGACGACAACTTAGGTTTTCAGGAATCATTTCTCACCAAATGATGTTTGGCCGAACCTATAAGTCTTAACTGATGATCCTTGGCCAAACCTACAACCGTAGCGACTTAGATTTACCAGGCTGTTTCATACCCGATGGGCGTTGGCTAAACCTCTTAGTAATGAACTCGGGTTCTTTCTACCAGCTGGTCCATGGTCAAACCGCTTGGTTACATGAATGATCTAGATTTTACAAGGTTCTCGAAGATCCTATCTACCAGCTGGGTTTTGTTCAAAGCTCTTGGAAATGATTTTACAAGGATATTTGTCTACCAGATGATTTTTTGAGAGACCTATTGACAATGATTATAACAGCTTAGGTTCTCAAAGATCCTCTTCACATTTTGTTTGATAAAAAGATAAATTTACAATACCTGAAAGTCTGGTCATCATGGATGTCAAGATGACATTTTCTCCTGTCCAATTCCGTTGCGGATGTGACGTCAAACAATAACAGTCACCATCTTGCATTGTTGCTAGTGACTGTATATAGTACGTTGAACAATAAACTAAACAACCAATACTACTCTTTGCTTTAGATTTTGCAACAAACTGTTTTGATATCGGCACTTGAAACTTGGTGATTCGCCAAAAAACAGGCTGCACAAGATTCACCAGTATCGTCAACGGTAAAACGAAGGATATTCCAATTTTTCGAATCATTTCGTAACCATTTCGTACAAAAGAGGAAAGTACAATGAACAGAAACAATATTATTTCTAGGAATGGATAAGTTATTTGATTTTAAGATTATTGATACTTTAACTTAAAGGGATATTGTGGTCAAGTTCTCCAAGTTGTCATTTGATAAACCTTAATTTCACCTTCTCAGATTTTAGAGCCTGTTGTAATTCGACATAATGGACAGCAGCATTTTCCACATCGTCACTGTTTCGAAAATAGAAAATTAGGTCTAGATGAGTCTTATTGGGGAATTTTATCCATGTGCTACAAAACAATACGTAAAACTGACTGTGCAATCGTGTTGATTGGTCAGTTTGAAAATCACATGACATTTAAATATCTATCACCTATGACATATTTGAGGATCATTAGGTACTGCGGTAGCGCATGTAATAGTTTAAAACGTGTGGAAGAGCCGATGGCAAAAGCTTAGCATCAACAGGTTAACCGAATAAATAGATGATTGTATCCCCTTTCTAATAACTTACTTTCAATAGAATATCTTACTTATATTGAATTACCTAATGATTTTTATAATGGTTTTTGTTTCTATTTTTTTTTTTAAATACAAAAAATACAGATACAGTATGAAGAGCAAAGACAACATCCATTATCGTTTGGTCATTTTGTTCTTTTATCATAGATAGCCATATTAGATCGACAAAGGATTGTTTGTACGCCCTACCATTATTGCTAATAATCTAACTACAAAAACGTGAAAGCATATAGAAGGAAAAGAACCATTATTCTTTTTTTTTTTTTTTTGCAATTTTTCTTTTCTGAAATTTCGACAGAATTCATCTTGGACTCTTTCTTTTCTAAATTTCGACAGAATTCATCTTGGAATGTCAGTGAGCAATTCTTCTAGATTTGTTCACAAAAGTAAGAGGAAATGACTATAGACGACATTTCTCGATTGATCTGAATTTCAATAGGGTTCATTTACTGCAACGATCTTAAGCCTAGTTACTTGACTAATCTGATATTTTTCAAAATTATCCGAACTTATAACAACAATTCACATAAAAATGGTTGCGATATTTCGCAAGGTAAGTTATTAAGTCCATTCGCAGTTGAATGAAAATTAAACATATTTATACAAATTTCAACTTCTGTAATACTTGGCTCGCCATTCAGCCAAAATCGATATATTTCATCGCCTCTGGTCCAGTGATACTTTGTATTACCATTGTCCCAAAATGCTGAAAATGCACCAACGAAAATTTGTGCTGGAAAAAAGATTTCACAATAAAATAATAATAAAATAGCGTTCGAACTCTGCGATATAGAGAAACAAGAATTTGATTAAGACTTGGGTTTTTACAGATCTTATTCCCGTCTGAGAGGTTGGGTCAACTGTGCGTCAGAATCTAAGAGCAACGACTGACGGCAACTGATGAAATCTGACATCACTAAAGAATCAGAAATTGCAGTTGCCAACAATTATTCATGTTCCGCTTTATAGTAGAAATTTCCGTCTTGCCATTGAAAGTTGATCGCAATACTGGGAACAGTATCTCGATATGAAGTTTTCTTATGTCAACTGCAATAGAAGCTTCGAGTCGTAGGTCGACCCAAGCCCATATAATCTAATAACTTACTTTGGAATTCCGAAATCATAATATTTAAGCTAGCTGTATATTTCTCAAGTGTGTTTAAATTTATTAGATATCCGCCATCTTGATTGCAGTGTCTTTTGGCTTCTTGCCACGTCTTACGGGAGGCGATATATTTAATACAAACACCCAAAGCATGATAAATGGTATATCCCTTCGATATACAGTCCGACTGTTCTACAAAATAAAACAGTTCATAAAATAGTTTAAAATTGTATGTATCTGGAACACACTCGCTAATAAAAACCGAGTTGACAAATTGAAGGTACTATGTAATTCCGAATTCTCAGTTTAGCAAGTAGAAAAAATAGATATACTACCTGATCGTCTTGACATAAATGATATCAGAGTTACTTCCCCTCCAGTCCAATTTGAATCCGGATGTGACGTCAAACAGAAACAGTCGCCATCTTGTATGTTTACCAATAACGACGAGAAGTGCGTTGAACATTGCTCAAAACAGCGTAGACGGCTATCTACTCTAAATTTTGCTACAAACTGCTTCGTAATTGGTATAATAAAATTAGTAGTTCGCCAATAATCGGCGTTCACTAGATTGACAGTCAGCATCAACAGGAGAGAGACAGATATATCAATTTTAAGAATCATTCTGAACTTCTTCCGTACAAAACCAAAACGTAAAATGAAGAATCAAATATACTTCAATGGTTAATTACAAAGCCAATAATATTCAACAAATTTCACTCTTTCATTTAAAGCCATAGAGTCGTCTAAATCTTTGCTTTTCACTTTTACTTTCTGTCATCTGAATCTCTTATCAGAAAGCAAATCTGGTGGTTGGTTCGTCAATGATTTGATCAGACGGACAGTTGTTACTACAGTTACATACTTCATGTAGATCGAAACTGCGCAGATCTGAATTTTTTTTTCATACCAATGAAAAAAAACATCTGGGTAACGAACCCCATCCTGTTATTTCATTTATATGTCATACGGATTGGTAAAATTGAACTATTAACTGTAGAGGGTTTAATACCTTGGATATTGAAAGCTTTCACTAAAATAAATATAACTTCAAAGGTAGGATGTTTAATGACACTAATGTTTACACACATGACCAAATATTTAATTTGCCCTTTGAAATGTGGGTTACTTTTCCTTCACCCAACCTTCATCCATTCTGTTATGTATTTGATTAGCACATATTGTTCTGTTGAAAAGAAGAACGCTTTGCCAATGTTGCTTCATTGAATGCCGGTTTGGAAAAAATTGGAAGCATGAGTGTGACGAAGATTTCCACTTCAAGGGAAGCAACTCGTGTGTGTGTTTGTTTAAATAGTATGTCTATCGTTAATTTATAAATATTTTTTCAATGGTGTAAGTTTTTGAACCTATTATTGTTATCCAAATAAAGAACTGAATATTATTACAATGTTTGTCATCTTGAAGTGAGACAGAACTAATATGGATTCTTTATTTACCTTTTCATATTAAGGGACATAACTCATTTATAAATAATTTTTTTTGAAAAATGACGTTTACTTCAAGGCAGATAACTCGTATGGAGTTTTATGATTATGCAAGGAATTCAACTTCTATTTTGCTTTGGTAACATTGTATTCCACAGCATAAATTTTATGACTATGCAGTTGGTTACAAAATAAGCTGTTTGCTATGGAGAACTCACATTCTTCCAGAGACTACGTAGGTTAGTTTACGCATCCATTCCACTGACATATGGTATTTCTCTTTATTCAGGGGCTTTGAAACATTTTGTTACAATGGAAACCGTCGAGCACGACTCAATCAAATGCTAGTTTTCGATATCATCCCGATTTCACATATTAATGAAATCTTGAACCTAAGAGGAACTACCCAGTCTTCAGTTTACAAACATTTTTGTAACGTTTTCATTTTTGTACTGAACAAATTTTGTCATACTATTAGGTGTACTGAAAGCAAACTAGATTTGAACTGATATATTTAAACGCGGGGTAGGTTTTACAGTTATAAGATAAATTCCACTAAGAACATAATATCTGATTTACTTTTCTTGAAATTGAACAGAAGTTACTTCCCTTGATATACAAAATTTAAATTCTAAATTAGTCTCGTTTTGCCGCATTGCCCAACTTGCCACATCGTGCCCAACTGCACGAAAACGTCAAAACTAAAGTTTGCTGATAAAATCCGGAATGGCCATTTTTGCGTGAAAGAAAATATTTCAATCTGTTGTTCCGCATCTTTTTTTTTATTATGTATAATTTGGACCTGTTAGGAAATCGAAACTATAGTTTTATGGTAAAATCTGGAATAAAATAAAAAAAATAAAAACCAAGTGAACCGTAATACAAAATACATAAATCCACAAAAGACAAGACAAGTGCAATGAATAAATTTGGTAATAACTTGCAAGAGTTATGTCCCTCTACTGTGTGCCAATAACGTCACCCTCGCGCTAGAAAAAATGGCAACTGAAATGCCTGAAAGTGAAAATCTTTTGAATTTGTGAAAATCTTCTGGAATAGTAAATCAGAATTATCAAGCGAGAAGAAGTTTGAAATTCTCGTATTCGATGTGCTCTATAATGCGGCAGTGGCTCAGCCACCACTGGTTCCAGGTAAGTCCCAGAATGTCCTGGTGGACAAGGTAGAATGGCCATTCCGAATTTTATCAGAAACCTTTAGTTTCGTTTTACAAGTCGTTTTTGTGCAGTTCGGCACGATGCGGCAAGTTGGGCAATGCGGTAAAATGAACCCACTGTTGTTTCACATGTTTTACCTTCAACAAACTTCGGAACAATATGATGTAGTGTATGGACGTTGAAGATCTTTTATCAAAAATGTCCCTTGCTCCACACTGCTGACATCTTTTTAACATACATAGCTGAAAAGCTGGACATCAATTTTTATTTCATTTCTATATCCAAATATATATAATTTATTGTATCCATTATAATGGTAGCGTAATAGAAAATTCCAGTGAATAATCGTTGGGCTGTGGACGACAGGTCAGTTGTTGATCTATCGGATGAGTTATAATGTTAATCTTGGGAATGAGACTGATATTTGACCCCTCAATATGGAATAAATATGAATATATCTCAATATTATTACTGTATTACATCGTGTTCCATTACTATACGACAGACACCTGAATATATGATTTGACAGTTAGATATCTTTATTGATGAGTCATTGAAGTGGGTATTTGTCAATAACACATGCCAGTACACCATTTAGTCTTCACCATATAATACCATCATGCCATGTCAACACGATAAGTATGGAATGGTCGTCTAATCAGAAATAAATTAGGCGCCAGTCAGTGTAAGTTTAACCTTCTAGACACCTGATACTTATTTTCATTATGAAATACTTCCTCAAGTGAAAAGTTCAATAGCTGCTACCAATATTTTGCCAATATGTTGTTTGGATTTCGGGTTTAATTTGTCAGTCTCTTGCTGTTTACCAAATCGGAAATCGAGCGTACTTTCGTAATAAAGGGTGACAAGTGACAAACCATAGTTGTTATTGTGACCCGATCGACCTCCAAGCTGTTTATATTATTAGTATTAAATTATCTATCGTAATTAACAATGTTATTTTGATTTTTTGAGAGCGATTCTCAGATCATTATGCACATATACAAATTGTCGACGTTCAGTAGTCCGCATTGATAATAACATTGTATTTTGACTCAACATTTGCCTTGTCTGGTTGTCGTTTTGTTTACTAAATTCAGTTTAAGTTAGTGAAGACAGTGTCAGAAGGTTCGTTTTTATTAAAGGGTTGACCCAATACATTGGATGCTTTTACCTCATTGTCAATCAATCTGAATCCAACTACTACAGCCATGATTGAGCTGTTATTGCCAAATAAGAGTAAAGTACATAATCGTCATGGACAAATTAAGAATAATGTGTTTTCTCTGTCAAAGATTCTCGCGAAACGTGCAGGTTTTTTGGCATGTAAAAAATTGTTCTCCAAAGCAATTCCTCTACAAAAATTCATCAAGGAATTGAATTTGTTTGTTGTCAAATGAAGAATGATGTTTCTTTTACTATCTGAAGTTATAAAAATCCCAACAATAAAATCGGTTGTTGTCGGTTTAAATTGATCCTAATTGGAACTTATGGCTTCGACATGGCAGTGGTTGACATTGAACAGAAATTGTGTTTGATTGTGTTCGAGTGACCGAGATGAACCATTTGGTGAAAACGTAGACTAACTTCGTTACTGATGGGGATTTTGAAGCTTATGCTTTGTTTTGTGACACGCCAAAAAAATGCTTCCAGGGTGCAAAATATAAAAACCATATACTCCCTGTGAAGAACATTGGGGAAAAATCCGGAGTTGGATCAAAAAGGCCAGTGTTGATCTGAAACCTCAACCCCTCGTGAAATGATATAAAAATTTGTTCGGACTTTACCAAGTAAGGATTCAGATAGCTAAGCTAGTGGTAGATGTAGAAATAATTATTTTACTAAGGGACTAACACAGAACATTACATGTTGTGTAGACGTGAACACCAGTTGCGAAGGTTTTTTCGTCTACTTAAAATAATTTACCTAAAACATAAACCTGATGAACGATTCACAGCAATGAAAATAATAACAGTTGAAATACACGAGACTTTTTAAATTTTGAAACTTGATAAAGTGTGGTAATGAGTTAAAAGCACTCTGTAATCAGAGAAAATTGACAGTTTGCTATGTTTTTGTCTACTACAGTGTCAGAATGATGTGGAAATGTCATAATTTCAAAAATTATCTATCAAGGTTTCCGAGTAATTTGACTGCCGATAATAAGGTAAATGAGATGAAATTTTGTCCAAACACACGAAGATTTAGAATAAATACTGAATGTTGACTTTATCAACTTTTTACCCTACCCAAGCTGTTATTTTTCCTCATTCTAAACATGAGACCTCATTAACAGCTGCCAATTGTCAGCTCAATCAATGATCTCATACATAATTTTGTCAAATTTCGTTACTTGAAATTTAATAAGTTGATGGAAAGGATTTTGTTTTTTTCTGTTTTGACTCTTCTCGAGATTTCTAGGTACTGACTGACTTAATGCACAAGATTAAGAAACACCAGACGCAGAACTTTGTTTTATCTCATTCGAACGTAAGGTAAAGGTGTGGAATGGTATATTGCAAAGATTTTAAGATGACATACACCTAAATAATACGCAATCCATGTCGCTGTGTACCTAATTAAGATCATACAAATCGCGGTGACACTCTTCCATTGCCAAGATCAGCGACATGATACACCTTAACAAAAACCCAATCTACTTATAGATCATGGTTCAAAATCCGCTCCAGCAGGACGACTGAAAATGATATTTGGATAACAACAAACGTTGATGATTTAGATGGATGTGAGATTTTCCAGTCAGAGCCGTAGATAATATGATGCCAAAGTAATCCGCATAAATCAAACGACAATCTATAAGTCACAGTTTAAAAATCCGTTTGAGCAAGTCAACAGACATAGACGTTGGTAATGCGATGCCGAGATATCACTATAATGATATTATCCAAGGGATAAGTCGTTTCAGACACGATTTGGAATTGTTTTATTATCTTTACGAACATTGGCGATAAAAATAGGCGTCTAGGGACGGGCCAATTATTTT